TTCGCGAATAGACCGAATGAATCATTCATTTTTATGGGCATAAGTTGAACGCAATAAAAGCAAGCAATTAAAGACAGATTGGATATTGTATTGATTGATATGCTCGACTGGATCTCGAACTTAATTCCGTTGCTATAAAATGAGATAGATTCATGGCGGACAGACGTACGAGTCGGAACAATAACGGGCATAATCGAAAGAGATCTCGCGGCCCGGCACACCGTTTTTCTATAGATGCGGTAACTCATTTACCATGTAATTAATGCCCACGAGTCGGCCAGCCACGAACGCATAGTTTATATTAATTACACCCCGGAAGATTCAATTAGTGCATTTCTCATTACACTTACTTATACCAGTATCCATTATTCATGAGGAACCAGCGCGGTCGAGTTGCCTGACAATGCACGTGATCGTTACAGTGTATTGTTCCGGCGAGATTTTCGTACATGGAATTTGATAAAAATGCATCTGGAGCAGGCTCGGCGTAAGGTTGCTCCGCTAATGAAAATCTCTTTCGTGCTTCATTGTTAATGCCGCCGGAAATTTTGCGGTGCTTCATTATACCCGGCAATCATTAACACACTCAATGCCGATCGTCCTAACCATCGACTTATACGTGGCGCCACGGTATCTGTTACAATCTCCAAGAGATAGAAATAATACCGCCGCAATGGGAAAGATACGAAACCATGGAACGAACCAAATTGCAATTCAAATTCCGCTGGAATTAATGTTTATTTTACTTAGTCACGAGGAAGGCTTTTATCTTACTGAAAATGCAACATCTAACTTCTTTTATCAATGACTCGATTCTCTACAATTTCAAACGATCTCGAATAACTTCAACGAATTCTGTCGATCTACATCGAATCGCGATACATTTATAATTTATCTGCACGTCGTGAGAAAGTCGACGTACCATTCAGTAGCGCAGTCTTAGTCACGAGGAAGACTTTTATCTTACTGAAAATGCAGAATCTAACTTCTTTTATCAACGACTCGATTCTCTACAATTTCAAACGATCTCGAATAATTTCAACGAATTCTATCGATCTGCATCGTATCGCGTTACATTTACAATTTATCTGCATGTCGTGAGAAAGCCGACGTGCCATTCAGTGGCGCGGGGTTTCATTAAAAGTCCAAAGTAAACAACGATTTCTTCATTAAAAATAGGAGGAAGGGAAGATTAAGATGATTCGACACCTCCGTCTTATAATTCGAGACATTCATCTCTGGCAATTACCCATCCCATGGAACATTAAAGTTCATACCCGGCAGCCGCGAGAATAAGATTGTTATAATGCATCCTCGTTTTACCGTAATTATCTTGTATCTTAACCGTTGCCGTACACGTTGCGTGTGAACCGTCATTCTTACACGTTGCTCGCGGAGTACTTAATTGTTCGGTACCACAGTTTCGACGTACCTGCTACATTGTGGGCGAATGAACCCTCGTCTACGTTAACGGGAACCGCCGTAACTTTTAACCAAGTGGTATTTTTAATTCGCCTTAGCAACCGAACCGGATAAAACTTTCTGCCGACGTAAGTCGCGGCGAGTTTTACAGTTACTCCCCGGCGGGGTCGCAAGAAAATTCGATCGAGTTCGAACTTTTACACCGAATCTACATCGGCTTCCCGTTCCTTGTTACCAGCGCCGACAATGAAGACGCGATCGTTTATCAACGTGCAATCAATTTTAATGGGCGACGCGGCGTTCGCGTTAACGGTACCGCGCGTCCGCCGCCGAATGGCAATTCGTTTCGCGAAAACACACGCGACGAAACTCCGAACGGAAGCGGCGGCCCTCGGAGCCGTTTACATTCCGGACAAATTAGATTTCAAAGTTCCGCGACTCCGCGCATTTAATTCGCTCGAACGAATCTTTGAATTCGATTTTTCCCCGCAACGAAACACGAGCCGCGCCCGATGCCGGCTCCGATTGGACGTTTTCAATTTATTTTTACACGAGAAATCACCGATTTCCCCGGCGCACCGCTCCGCGCCTCTCAACGTCGGAGTATTTCAGAAAGCTTTTCGCCTTTGAACTTTCGGAATTACGTTTGTAAGGAAATGCGCGTAGAAACGCCATCGCCGTGGCGTTTTCACGCTCGTTTTCTCCTTCGGCCCGACGCTAAAACGTTCCGTGCTATTTCTCAAAATTAGCGAAATCGCCGACATTTTTAGATTCAGCCGGGAGTTCGCGTCGCGATTCCTTCTGGGTTGGAGACTTCTCGCCCGAACGGGACATGCGAGGATGTGCAAGCAGAAATGGGTAGCCGCGCGGTGGAACTTTAACGTATAATCCTAGCGACACGCTCCTGGCCGAAATAGCTTAAAATTGTCTTCAATCCGACGCCTTGAAATGCGACGGGAGAGTAGGTCGAGGGGCGCTCGACGAATCTTCCGGCTGACTCTCGATATTTTTCCCCGACGTTTTGCAGGAAAATCAGCCGCGAACGCGCTCGTCTCGGTCCCTTGCGAAAATTCAAACCAGATCCGATGGGATCGGGGGCAGACGCCGCGTAAAACGATTACCAATTGGCCTTATTGCTCGCGGGCTTGATCAGAAAATGTTTATCCGCTTGATGTTTCATCGGCCGAATAAAGCCTCCTCGGTCGAGAATTTCCCCGGCTGAATAAGTGGAAAAGAGGATCGAGATCGTCGCGTTTTTTCATCAAGAACAACAGCTTTCTCCTTTCGATTTTGCAAGGTTATTAACTCTCGCGTTTCGTTGGTGCAAAATTGTTTACGCCTTTTCGTTCACCCGGATTATTCGAACTAAATCGATCTGTTTAAGTCGTAAATGGAAGTTCACGGTGCAATTCGGTTTCGAGCGATTTCAACGGAAAAATTGATATTAACTCGCTTGTAGGAGTGACGTAAAATGCAGACGATTTTTCGAAAATTATTTGTCTATGGAAAAAGTTACTTTTATCAGAGATTAATACGGAAAGCTCGACCGCAGTATTTGCGAAAGGGACGAGGAGAGAAACGCGGAAAAAGTGCCGGGAATTTTATGCGCGAAGCATTTCAAGGAGACCAGCTTTTCGATGCTAGCCGCTGTTCGGAAAATGGCGCATTTTTTCTACGCAATCGATACACCGTATATTGCGATACAATCGCCAAACACGGATTACGCTACGCTTCGCTGTATAATCCGTGAAATGGACGATTAATAACGTATCGCAGCGTACGTATACATATATTGTATATACGTGCATACGTGCATACATGCGAACAACAGGCGCCGTACAAACTAGTGAATTTTATCAAACGCGAAACACGAGTGCACCGGCTCGGCACGGGAACATTTTTTTCGCGGAGGTAAATCGAATTCTTTTAAAAACAATCATAACCGTGCAATTCATATCTCACGCTCTATCGAACTCTCGAAGCGTACTTCGCGACAATTAGACGGGACAACTTGTGAGCTACGAAAAATGTAATTAAACCATTTCTATTACGAAAAATTGATATTCGTTTTTGAAGTTACAAATTGCAGGTGTAACAACTATTCGTCGCGTGTTAAATATCAAGATCTGAAAAAGCAAATCTCATGTTTAAGTATGCAGTCATACTTCATATCTCACGATCTATCGAACTCTCGAAGCGTACTTCGCGACAATTAGACACAACTAGTAAACTACGAAAAATGAAACCATTTCTATTACTCCTAGAAAAATTGATATTCCTTTATTTCAAGGTTACAAATTGCAGGTCTAAACTATTCTAAAACTCTTAATGGTGCTAACTTTTTCAACGATGGATTATTTATTTTTTGAGACAAACATGTAATTCTCCGTTTTGCTTTAGTCTTTCGTTAGGATATATTTCAAGTGCATCTGACCTGCATTTAACGAGTACACGCTTCATTACTTTATTTTATCGCGACAATGAGAGATTTTTCAAACTAAGTTCCACAACTGGTTAAAAGATATCAAGTTCTGAAAAAGCAAATCTCACGCGCAAGTATGCAGTCCGGACAGACTGGTTCCGCATAAAGGTCGCGCGCGCGAAGGAAAAATTAGCGCGTCGCGGTAACGAAACGTTCATCGGAAGTCCGTACTGTAGCCGATCCCGTACGAACTTCGTCTTCGCGAAGCGTGGTAGGTCATCTCGATAATACGCAATTGTACCGTACAGAACGGTCGCGTTCCAGATTCCCCGCGGAGTCTCGAAATTCTTCGACGAATAGTTCCCCTCCCAATCGAGCAAAGATTATAAGACCGACCGACCGACCGACCGAATATCGTGCCTTGGGGCCCGTTACGCTTTCAGCCAGGCGACTCACGTGCAGCATAAGCGCTGCCCGCGGGCCCCCTTCGCACGAACGACACACGTCTATTTTGCCCATCGTACAACGGCCATTTAATCATTCCGCGGAACGCTTACACGTTTCATGGAATTCCCTTATTCGGCCGGCGAGCATACATATATGTACGATCCCCGGATGCGTGGCACCGTTCAGTGTCCGCGTATCGGGAGGAAGACTGATCGGCATGGCGCTCGTCTAGGTATAATGCAGCCCGCGTCCCCTCCGCCTACCCCTCTCACCAACGTTGACCCGTTGACAGTTTCAGCAAGGAATATCGCGTCGATCCTCGACTGCTAACATTTCACGCGCGAATACGATAACGATTCAATCTTACCTGGGTTGCTGTCCGCGTTCGAGCTGAACAGCACGCACAGGCCCGTCTCGTAGTTGACCGCCTGGCAGGAGTCGTTCGCCTGACAGATCTCCAGGCAGTCGGTGAGCATCAGAGTTCCTGGTATGGACTCGAGCATGTTCGTTGGCGCGGTGTACACGTAACCGGTCACTAGCTCGAAGCCCACCATTTCTGGGTCGCACTCGTCGGAACCGGCGGATGGCCCCGTGTAATCCGGCCCAGAAAGTCCCGACGGGACCGCAGATGAGGCCGACTGGTCAGCCGCGTGTGTGGACTCTGCGGCCGCCACGCGACCGAACCTCGCGATAGCCTGCACCAGCAGGAACGTCGTGATCAACTCTCTTGTCATCATGCCGCTCCACCTGTCTATACAATCTTATCTGGAAAAATCAAGAGAAGAAGATCGTCAGCGGTCGGTTCTACTTCGCGAGCACGCGACGATATAGGCACAGAGAAATAATTCGAGACATTTTGTTCGGTTCAGATCGGTCGTTCAATTTTCGGATGGATTGTCGCGTGATTTATCGAAATCGGTTTGAAATTGTTATAGGCTCGTTTCTTTGGATCGAAGTTTCACGGTACCGAAGAGAGTTTTTCATTTAGACATTCGAATGATGTTTGCAGTTTTATTTAGTTCATTTTCAGCTGAGTGATGCTATTCGAGAGATAATATGTTTTATAATCGGTTTGATGGTATTGCTTTTTTGTTTGGAATTTAGCGTCTATTCTATTTCACTAAAAAATAGAAATTTTTTTCTCGTTTCCTCCGATACGTTAAACTTTTATTTTACAACCTTCCAAAAATATTTGTCACGATATCTACAAGACGATGCGGAGTTTCGACGGAAATGATCACCGATGTTCAGTTCTTAGTATATGTGAGCGGTACGTTGAAAAAATAGTTATTTACGTTTCATTAATAACCATAAATCAGAACATTAAAATTCACTGCCATTTTATGTGTTAATAAAGCTCGTATATACAATTACTTAAGAGTATGCAGATTACTTAATTCATTATAATTAAAAAATATTCCGTAAGATCATCGCGTAGCGGATAGTCAGTGGCAGGTTTCTGGTTCAGTACTGGTTTGACAGCAATGTACATATTAAATCACGTAATACGAATATCGGAATACCTTCGAAAATTTATCGTTATATTCCCGTGTACATAATTTCAGGTCATATTCTACGTAAAATCAAATTCAGCGATAACCGCAGTTCATCTTCGTCGTCTGTTGCATATGCTTGTAAACGCGATACAACAAATTTAACATTTTAATTATTAGTATTATTCGCCATTAGAGCATGCATTTTCGAGTGCGCGCGTCCACTTGTGAAATTAATGTGACAGCTAAATGAAATTAAGCATTCGAGATTAAGCGATAGCCTCGAATAATTCAAACGCGATTCGATGCGTTCGTGAAATTGCGCGACCTTCGGCAGCCTCGATTTTTTTCTGTTCAAAAAATAAATTCCGGCTCTCTCTCCGTCATGACTCGATAATCCTCTTTCGTGTTCCTTTGTGAAAAGCACACTATCATTTACAAAATCCCTCACCTTTAATACACGTTGATCCGTATAATTTAAATAATTCTCTCTAATTCGCCTATATATTTGCGCCGGCAACATTTCCTCGCAAAGGAAAGTATTCCAGTCGATCCTATTTCAACGGGAATGAAAATTAAAACAAGCTAAATAAATGATTCGAGCGAAGCGAAAACTTCTGTAATACATCCAGCTGAAACCGTTCCGACACACGGTAGTGGCTGCGGTGCCTCGACTATAAATGCCAGGCGATTTCAAAGCGGCGTACGCGAGGCGTTCGTACACGCGAATAGCCCAGTTTCGTCGGGCCTGTCTACGTATGATAATAATAAAATGAGAACATTGGCGGAAATCTGTCACTGTACAAGGAACGTGCTCTTACGACGTCGGGCCTTGAATACCAAAACGGCCGCGCCGCTCTACATACCGAACCCGTCGACAGCCGATCACGAACCGGCCTGGACGATTTCCTTGGCAGGCCCGACGCGAGAGAGCTAGCCGCGCGAATTTTTCGGCCCTGCCCGGGGAACAGGAAACTTCGAACCGTTTCGCCCTTTCCGAGCGAGCGCCTCGTTCAATGGATCGCAGGGGACGGGGCGTCGGTGGGAAAAAACGCGAGCGCGAAAATACGGGCGGACCGCGTCCTTTATTCCCGTCACGTTGTTTTCCAGCGCGCGAGGCTAAATAACAAACCGGCGCGGCGGCCGAGCCGCGGGCCCCGGCTCGAATACGTGCGCTCGCGGGCTCGACGAAGCGTACGGGTGGCTCGGGTACAGCGAACTCGCGCGAAT